TAATTTTACGCTACATTTTCTTGCAAGCAGATCTCAGTGTCTTTCAAGAAACATTGCCCCAGGATTTCTCAATTAACCCCACACAGGAAAAGATGTTGTAACGTTCCTTCCAGAACTCTTTATGGGTTAAATCTGCCTTCGAGACCATCTGGAAGCACGTCAGGAACAGTTCCTTGGTGTATAGCTTCTTAAAGTCAGCTACAACCTGCAGGAGGAACTCCACTGAGAGTTATGGGTACTCTACAGCCAATTCTTCTTCCAAACCTTGTGGACAAGCTGAGTCCATGATAGCAGAGCCTTGGGTGGTAAACACTTGTCCTCCAGATATTTCTAAAAAGTAAGCCAGAAAGCCTCCCTGATCTACTCAAGAAGAAGTAGTCTTGTTACCCAGGCTTTTGCATTAGCTCTCCCCATGATGCCTAGCCTACTTTTCATAACTTTCTGTTTTCTGAACATTCCAGGTGTCTCAATGTGAAAAACCAAGAGAGGTTTGATTTTGAGGTCACCACTTGCACTGGCACATAGCAATAAGGCTAGCCTATCCTTAGTTGACTTGTGGACTGGCATTTTCTTCTCTTTGTCGGTAATGTACGTTCTGCTGGGCATTTTCTTCCACAAAAGGCAAATATTAACGCAGTTGAAAACTTGATGAGCACAAAGCCCATTTCTCTACGTCATCATTTGGAAGTAGGGTATGTAATTTTTAGCAGCCTTGTCATCAGCTTCACCAGGCCTCATTATACTACGAACCACAGTTCTCACTTTACCATTATGAAAGCACCACTTCTGGCATGAAATGTTTCACCATTATTTCTCATGGGTGGGTTAATCTTCTGAGATATGACCCTAACTTTTTCACACATTATAGATTCAGCTAGGCTATAACCTTCCATCTGCCTTTTGTTTATCCACACTAATAATAGCCTTTCTTTCTCATCTATCACTGTTGATCATGACTTACTAATTTGAGTAGCACCTTTATCAACACTGGCTTCCTTATGCAAATCTTTTCTCATAGTATTGTTGAGATGGGGGCAGGGATATAGCTCAATAGTACAGCACCTGCCTGAAAAGAACAAGGTCCTAATTTGACTCCAGACACCAAAAAAAAAAAAAAAATGTTCAGATGGTGGATTCCAACATGCTGTACATATTAATGATATTAGTCACACAAACACCACTGTCATATTTCCCCCACAATTTCCATCGTCTTTTTTATTGTGATTGTTTTCTTTACCTTCTCTTCCTTCCTTAGCTTTTTTTCTATGTATTTGGGGGCCATTTGATAGCAGTAATCACAGCAATCATATAAAGTGGTGATCAAAATCATATCCATAAATATGCACATCTGCACTCAAACTGATGCTTACATGTGCGTTTCTGGCATTGCAAGAAATGCTTACAGCCACAGAAGCAACCAACATTTGTGTCATAACTCAAGATATTGATCATAAATTAAATCTAAGACTCTGTTTGTAACCCAAGTTGTTCATACGTGAGGCTTGGTGTAACTCAAGGGTCCAGTGTATAATGGAACATAAAGAAGACAGGGTGGTTGCTGTTGCTTACTGCTTGAAGCTTACTGCTTGCTGCTTTGCTTCTTGCTGCTTGTTACCTTACTGCCTTCTGCCTGCCACACCATGAACTACTTCTCTTCTGTGAGGCACCTCTGCTATATTTCCCTGGCTTGGAATCAGGCAACTATAGACTGAAACCTCTACAGCCTGTGAGCTGAAATAGACATTTCCCCCCTTTAACTTGTGGGTGTCAGCTATTTTCTCAGCAACAAGAAAAGTAACTAAGACAGGCAGTGACAATTTTCTACATGTTATGCAAATAACTCTTACTAAAATTGTCTTACTCTCAACCATAGTTGAAAGTCTTGGCCAGTGAGGTAAGGATACTGAGAAGCAACTGATTCATTCCCTTCATCCTATCTGTGAATATGTTTGCTGTGAAGGGGAAGAAACCTCAAGAGAGAAGGAATACACCTATGCCACAGTTTGGATATCAAATGTCCCCCAAGGGCTCATGTGTTGCAAGCTTCATCCTCAGCCCATGGCCTTTTGGGGATGTTTTAGAGCTCTTGGAAGGTGGAGTCCGCGGAAGGGCCAGTGGCCATGGAGGCCATTGCCTTTGAAGGATACGTTGGGACCTCAGCCTCTTCAAATTTCTATCTATTGAGGTGAGCAGCCTCCTACTACACGCTCCCACCTGGTAAGTAACTAAGAGGGTAGGAGGACAGTATAAATAATGTACCCTGTATTTCCCATGTAAACTACATCCTAAGGTAATGAAATAATTAGTAAAAGAGTTTTTAGAAGAATTCCAGCCAGTAAATACAGAAGAAATGGTGAAATTAGAAAACAAAGTAACATTTTACAGCCCTGAATGAAAAGACAGGTATGTGTATGATTGTCAATGAATACGAAATCAGTACTGGAAAAGGCATTTTAAAGGTATGATACTGCTGTTCAATCTCAGAATCATATAAAGTGGATCAATCGGTCATTGAATGCCTCATACAAAAGACATACATGGAATCACCTATGAAATGGTCCAGCCTCAGAAAAATAAAGCAAAACCCTGAAACGAGTTATAGCAGATACCTCATATATTACCCCTCTGCCAATCTCTGGTCTCAGCTGCCATTCTGGAGAACAGTTCTGAGTCTCTGCAATCATCTAGAGAGAAATGAGAGACAGTGGGAAAATTCTGGAAGCGTTTTAGAGGTCCCACGGGGCCACACTATGTAAAGCAGGCACCTGGGTAATCAACCGACAGGGGACCTCCTCTTTTATTTGTCTCTCTGAGGCATCGTGGGGAGTCATCTCCTAAATAAACTGTTAGCAACACGCCTAGAGTCCTAGAGTCTTTCACAAAAGCTTTAGCTAAGTCAGTGATGAAACTTAGAGCTAATGATTCATTTTAAGGAAACACAGCCAACAGATGAACTCAACAACCATTAGCTTAAAGAAAGAGCAACCTTTTCAGGACAAGTGGCTGATATTTCCAGCAAATGACTGCATGAAAATAAAGGTAGGAGGGGAAGTAAGAAAGAACGCAGGAAGAAAATGGAGGAAACGGGGAGGAAGGGTCACAGAATAAAAAAAGATTTAGAAGAGAAAAACTAAATGTACTATGTGGACCACCGAATCGTGATTTAAGTAAAGCAATAATTAAAGACATCGTGAACACAAGTAGGAAGTTTTCACCATAAAATTGAGTATTAGGTGATATTAAGGAAGTCTTATTAAGTTTGTTAGATGTGATGTTAGTAAAGAGGAAATGATTGTTATTTTATAAAATGTTTATCACATGAGATATATGCTCAGGTATCAGAAGGTAAAATTATATATTTTTCTGAATTATTTTAAAATAGTCTGGCAAAATAAAAAATAAAGAGGTAAAGAATGGATGAAGTTAGATTGTTAAAAATATTCTTGGGTGATGATAGGAAAAGGTAAATAATTATCATTATTGGTCTCTCTACTTTTATGTGTGGAATTTTCTAAAACATTTTTTAAAATGTGATGACTTAAAAAGCCCACAATTCAAAGACATAGCCTCAGAAAAATAAAGCAAAACCCTGAAACTTGACTGATCGATGTTATCTACCAATATGGCTAAGATATAAGGAACAGAAAGGAGCTTGTCACTTGTAGCTTGCTGCTTGCTGCTTTGCTGCCTTCTGCCTGCCATGAACTGTTTCTCCTCTGTGATGCCCCTCTGCCATGCCACCCTGTCTTGGAACCAGCCAACTATGAAATGAAACCTCTACAAACTGTGAGATAAATAAACCTTTCCTCTTTAACAAAAAAAGAAACAAAAATATGTTTAAACATTAACTTATAAGTGATGTACTTATGATTGGAACTTACAAAAAATGAAAATCAACATCACTACATATTTATAATCATACTTTGAAAAGTGTTTTCAAATGCACTGTTTTCACTGAGATTCTTAAAGAACCTCTAAAAATAAAATGTCATGCACTACAAAGTCATAGACTGAAGTCATGTGATTAAGGGTCTATGAATCAGCTGAATAATGTTTTGAATGAATAATGTTTTGCATTACTCTCTTATGTGATGGCCTGGTTGGCAATACTTGGACATATCATGGCATATAGGGAAAGTCTTGAGCAAAAGACTTTTTAAAATGTTCATTTTTCTTATATATGTAGCAAATAAAAAAGCATGTGACACCTTACCAGAACTTGATGAATACTAAAGTTTAAACTCCACAAAGTCTTTCACTGAAGTGTTAAATGGCGTACATGTCCCTGCTCACCATTATGGTCACGACCTAGTTCTAAATGAGCACTGCTGGTTTCTTCACATCCACTATGGGCTGGTCCAGCTACACTGCAGATGAAATTCACAAACATAAATATGATCGTACAACAACACACACCCAACACCATTCAATTGCACTGCATGGCTCAAGGCCTTTTTTTATTGTCTAAATGTGTCATAAATTTGTTCACTACGTAATTAATTGAATAATGTATTCTTCCTTTCTCTGGTCTTAAACCCTCTTCCTAGAGCAGGAACTAAGTTTGTTTTCATCTTTAGTTCTACTTCCAGGACTCTACATAGTCCCAAAAACATAATACATGGTCAACAGCTTTGCCAAAGTTCATCCAACAACTGAAGTTCATTTACTTTGGGCTATGACAGCATGCTATTTTCCTTATCCAACTGAACAGGTGAAAGAGCATAGTGGAAGAGATTAGAGTCAATTGACAGTAGGATCATCTTTATCCACAGGGCATTTATTCCACATCTTTTCTCTCAGAATCCCCAAAACTGTGGATACAACCTGATTTTGTATGCACTAGTTCTCACTGTAGTATATACCTATACTGATGTCTGCAGTTTATTGAAAGAAACAGTCAATGCTTAAAATTTTCTTTTTTCTTGACCAAGTTTGAACACTTGTATCTGGTAATCACAATGACTGATCTGAAAACAACAACATGTAGATAAGAACCATTG